TCCTTTCAAACATGTGCCAAAGCAAATATTAATTTTTCTGAATTCTACAATTTCCTAGTTAATACTTTGATGTATACATATTGATTTCTGGAAATAACAGAAAAATTATGTTTTTCAAAACTGTTCCTATTATGTACCTTTTTAAAATGAAAGATTTGTTGGATGGTTGGTTCTTAATAAGAGAGAGGAGCCTAATCCCAGAATTACACAACCACCTCATCAGCCCCACAGTCCTCCATCAGAGAGAAGTAAACTTCCGTTTCATTTAGGGCGCTGTTATTTTCCCACTATTCTAACTAATGTGATTGGTATCAACACCCTTCTTACTTTAATGCTGGGTAAACTGAGGTATGCAGAGGTTAAATGGTTGAGTAGCGGAACCAAGGTTTGAACCACAGAGTCTGGTGTCAGAGTTTTCCCTCTTAACCACAGCACTCTACTGCCTCTGATAAAGTTTCAGATATATTTGTACTTAGTTAATTTTAACACATGTCACTTTCTGCCATCTGTGACTTAGGATGTTAAGGAGTTTTTCTTTGTTCTTCTGCATTTTGGAACAGGTAAGGCTTTAGGGGTATGGCTGAAATGAATCTGGATACGGCTAGATTGATGCAGTTAAGGATGATAAGGCTGATCATGGAAAGCAGAAGAAAGAGTAGAAGATTGTGATAGGGAGGTAATTAAATGGAGAAGGGAATGTGGTTAAAGACGTTTGATTCCTGCACAGCTAACATGGTGAACAAGTAGCAAGTGTGATGAAGAGGAAGGAGATAAAAATGAATACTGTCATGTCTCTGGCTCCTCTGGTTCCATGTCAGGTGAGTCAAAATTGCCTAGCATTTTGCAGCTGGTTGTATAGGCTCCAAGTTCTACAGGACAAAAAAGATGATCTGCTCTAAGGTCTAAAAGAGCATATGATGCTCTCAAAACTTGAGTTTCAAAGTGACCTTCTCCACAGCAGTCTTCGGTTTTAATGCCTTCCTGGCTTCCTGGAAACCACCAGGAGCAGCATCTCATGAAACAGCATTTAAAACTACAGTTTTACTCTCCTGTCTATCCTGGACTGTCCTTCTGTCAGTTTTTTTGACAGCAAGGGTAAGATAACTCCTGGGATCAGAAAAATATGATGCCTAAAATTAGAAGATTCTGGAACCATCTCAAACTGACCCCTTGCTTTCCATATAGGTTGGCCTAAATCCATCACAACAGAAATGTTGGCTCTCACCACAAGATTTTTGAGCATGTTTCTTCACTTCTATGGATTTATTCTCCTTAAGTGTGAATGAAAGGATTGGACTAAGAGAAGAATTCATTCACAGTTTAGCCCTCCATGGTTTGCCCTTCTCAATAGCTTTGAATTCTCAAAACACTGAAGAAGTCATAGACCATGCATTTTCTTGAATGCTTGAATGCTTCCTTAACTCTCCACTGTCCCCAATTACTTAGACAGTTGGGAATTTATGCATTCATGTCTTTGTCTAAGGAACCATAAAAAAGGAAATGTATGTCGCATTAGGAAAGGTGACTATTTGTTTACACTATGATTAAGGCACAAAGATAATTCCACCTTTAGGAAAGTGGAATTGTACTAGGGAGAAAAATGAGAAGTTGTATCTCGGCTCCACATGTCTGCCATCCAGGCAAGTCTTCTCATTGAAAGAAGAATTTCTGAACTTCTAACTTTATGAACATTATTCCCAGAGAGGAGTGGTATTGACCCTCACTAACAAAGAATTCAATACGATTCAGCATATGCTTGACGCAAATCATCATCAAATTGATAGTGCTTTTTGCATGGCAAACTACTTTCACGGTGCAAGGCCCTCTGCCCAACGTAGGTGAGAACATGAATAAAATATGATCCCTGCTCAGAAGGGGTCCATAATCCAGGGTAGAAAATAGACACATGCATAAATAATTCTAACACAAGATAGACCCTGATATGCACTTTATTAGATTCACAAAGGAAATGCTAGGAGAACAATGCAAAGGGAGAGATTACTTCCCATGGGGTTGTAAATGAAGGGTTTTCTTGTTTGTTTTTTGTTTTTGTTTTTCTTCAAAAGCGAGTATTAGTCAGGCCTATTGCTAATAGTAAATGTAATCTGTCACTTATTTAACGTAGATTATTCTTTTATGTTTTTTAATTCTCATCACCCAAGGTGGAAGTATAACATGAAGAAAAAAAATTGAAACATGCAGGAAATTTATCGGGTTACAGGCACATGTAGCAGGAGTTGATGCTAGAGCAAACCACAGAGTTGCCCATGTAAGAAGCGTCTAGATTTTAAATCACTGCCAGTAATTGAAGAGTGTGCCCTATGGCTTTTGATTTGGGGCTCACAAAGCAGATTTTATGCATGCCTCATAGTCTATATTTTTGATGATACCTAACATACCTTTCAGATTTGGAAAAGATCCTTCTCAAGATTTTCACATAAAATGGTAGCCAATAAATGGAAAAATGGAAATTTCATTTTATTGTGTTGAACCTTATGAAATTGTTACCTTTGTAGGAATATTGACAAATTTAATATAGTTCAACCTAAATGTACATAGATAACATTTGGCAGCCATTATTTGACTTCAGGACAAAGAATGACATGATCAGATTTGGGTTTTGAATGGGTAAGTATGGGACTGTTCAAGGATACACTAGAATACAAGGGCCTGAGGGCAAGAATGATCTAATACAGTGGTATTGGTGAGAGATGATAACACCTGAATGAGTCTTCCCCACTTGGTGTGGGTTCTCCAAGGCAGATACTACATTTCTGGCAAATGTCTACTGGAAAATGGAGTTGGTACCCAAAAGAGCTTAAGTGCATAAGCAAGAGGGTGGGATAGAGAGGAAAGGAGGGACATGAAAGATATGCTATTTGTAGGACTAACAGACTTTTGTACTTGAATGTAGAAATAGGAATAGGGAGAAACAAAACAAGAATGCTTTTAAGGCCCCAAGGTTAAGAAGGAAATATACAAGAAGAAAGGAAGTATCATCAAATAATGCCAATGGTTCACTTTCTGCTAGTAATTTCTCCAAGCTTCTTTCATTGGCTCACATCTCTGACAGGGACAATCTTGAAATGTTATGTTAAACAGACACTTTAAAAATTAGGAGGATGGAGTGCTGAATGCTGCATTTCTAGATGTAGTTTCCAAGTGCATAAAGTTCCACAGTGCCCCCACCTTCCCTCTCACTTCTGCCCTAACTAATCATGGAAGCTCCTTGTTCCAGTGTCTTTTCCTGTTGGGTATTGTATGGCATGGGAAGTCCGGTCTAATAATGTTGTCCTTTAAAATGTAGCACTGGAAAGAACTGGGATAGTGAATTCCAAAGTTCCTATTCCAAAAGGCATTAATAAATGTTAAATATTTTTTAAAAATTTACATGTAAATAAATTTAGGAAATGTTGGGTTAAAAAATTTAAAAGATGTTTTTCCTTAAACACTTCTCTCAAAGTTTTGCAAAGTGCATTATGAATCTCAAAAATGGAATGAGAATCTGAAATGTTTCCTAAACTTCTCTTACCACTAAACCTTTTTTATTTCTTAATAAGCATTTCAAGTGTCTAGTGTTTTATGGCATGGGAATGCCATAAAGGAAATGTTGATCTAAGATTATTCAATATATTTATTAATCCTTTAGTTTGGGGCTATTCCCTTATTATTGACTATATTTTTAATAATAACTTTGGGTAATTACAGCAGAAATCCACCAAAGACTTGTACTTAGGTACCAGTATAATTATAATAATTTTTAAAAACCCTAAAACTCAAGGGAAAAAAAACATTCCACATTATCAACAGTAGTCATTTTAGTATAGTGGGAATGTGTTACTTTTTCCTGTATTTCTTTCCCAAGTACTATTTAAGACTACGTCTTTAATAGAAATATAAAAAAAAAATTAAAAGGAGGAAATAAAACATTTAAGAGTGTTACAAGAGAGTAAAAGCAAGACAGTGAGACTCAAATTTTTGAAGATTTTTTTTCTTACATAGGTTTCTTCCGTTTCATTTTTTATGACTGAATGTATTGCAGTTCTTACCTTGATCCTCAAGACTGCATATTGTAGTTATTAGTAGACACTGGTGGTAAAGAGGCCTGGGATTTGGAGACTTACAGTATGTAGGCTTTAATCCTCGCTCTCCTGCTTTAAACAAACAAACAAAAACTCTGGTAAGATATACTTATGTGCCTGCCAGTGTTCTTCTGGTTTTTCAGTATAGTTCTGTGATCTGAATAAGCTACTTAACCTGAGCTTCAGGTAGCTCTTCTGTTAACTCTCAAAAGGATTTTATAATACCACCCTGCTAAACATAAAATCTAATATTTATGTGAAGTAGCTTTTTAAAATATATTTTCCTCTTTTTAAAAAATACTTTTTTTCATTACTGGGGTGCCTGGGTGGCTCAGTCGATTAAGTGTCCAAATGTTGGTTTTGGCTCAGGTCATGATCTCTCCATTTTGAGAGTTCAAGCCCTGCATCAGCTGCCAGCACAGAGCCTGCATGGGATTCTCTCTCCCTCTCTTTCTGCCCTTCCCAACTTGCACTGTCGCTGTCTCTCTCAAAATAAATAAATAAACTTAAAAAATATTTTTTTTTCCATTACAAAAAATACATTTTATTGTGGATGACTTACAAAACACAGAGAATTAATCACGAAATTATAAACATCACCCATGACTTTACCACCTAGCAATATCTACACTGCATGTCCTTCATTGAATCTGCTTCATATTTGTTTGTCTGTGTCTCTAATACTCTGTAAGAAAGATAAAAGCAGGGAATCCATCTGCTTTTATCCTCCTGTGTGTTCCAAGTACCTGGCAAGGTGAGGAGGTACTTAATAAATTTTTTGAACGTATACAATGAAAACATGGTTTCCTTATTGTGTTTCTCAAACTTCTCTTCTTTGTGACTTAGGCTGCATCTATTCCACATTCTTAAAAACAGGCTTTCTCAGACTTTATACCCTTCACTTCTTTTCAGAGCCTGGCTGCCATTTGCCACCTGGTCCCCCAGCCACCCAGTGAGGCTTCTTCCATGGCTCCAGTGTATACTTGTGGAGTGATAGAATTTTAGATATGGATGGACCCAAGGAATCTTCCAGGAGAAAAATCTACAGCATCAAGAAGGAGGTAGGTCAGAGTTATAGTGATGGCTCTTAGTGGAGAACTGATTCACTTTATAACTCCTATAGCTCCTACACTAGAATATAACATTTAGAACTTGATTGTACAGTCAGTCTTCAGATATTCCTATCCACATGTAGACAGTTCAGCTTGAGAAGGACTTTAATTCAAATCCCTGCTTCAGCGGGATTCAAGGGATTCAAATCCCTTCCTTCAAAGACATGAGGCATGTCTTTGCTCATTCAAGAACTGGTTGAGGTTTTGTAGGCTTCCCTCTGCTGACACTACCCAGGAGAGCCCCCCAGGGTCATCTTCACAGCTGTGACATTGGCATCTACTGACTTTCGTTTTCTTCTCTGAATATTCTGGCTTCTTTCTTTACATTCATTTCAGGCTTAACTTTTAAAAACAAATCTAAAATGTTGTATTATATAAACAAAGAGTTATCATCTATGTAAGTTTTTGTGAGCATAATCTTTTTTTTAAATGTTTTTTTATTTGTTTCTGAGAGAGAGATAGCGTGAGCAGGGGAGGGTCAGAGAAAGAGGGAGATACAGAATCTGAAGCAGGCTCCAGGCTCTGAGCCAGCTGTCAGCACAGAGCCTGACATGGGGCTCAAACCCACAAACCATGAGATCATGACCTGAGCTGAAGTCAGACACTTAACTGACTGAGCCACCCAGGTGCTCCTTTGTGAGCATAATCTTAACAATAGCCAGGAAAGCTGAAGGAGCCCAGTCGGCACCCATTTTATAAAGCAACTTATGAAGGGAACTGCTTTATTACAGTGTTCTAAAAACTCTTATTAGTGCCTGAAACTACTGTGTCTAATAATGGAATTGATATAGTTTGGGCATAAATCAACGCTATTTTGATGGTCAGGTCCACAAAAAACTTTTCCTCTTAAAGCTGATAGTAAGTTTTCACATTCAAGATGTTTAGTATGGAAACACGGGAGATTCTGTCATCTCTTCATGCCTAATTTTCTGTCATTTGTCTATTGTGAAGCCAGCAGTCACTTTAGTGATCTTCATCACAGGATTTCCAAGCAGCTAGGATGGCTGGTCACATGAAAATACACAATGTGGACCATCTGGATTCTAAAAAAACCAGGCAGGAATTCTGGGAGAGTTTTAGAAACATTTCTGCATTGCAGAATGTTTCATTCACATAACACCCTGTTTCTAACGCGTTCTAGCTTCCTTTTGTACAACAATCATGCTTATATGCATTTTTGTGCAATTTGTGTGTTGTGTTTTTATTGTTCAATATGGTACATTTTCGTGTAATGCATAGATCTTTACTGTATTCAGGTGTCAGGAAACAATCAAGTTAAGTGGTATATATTGTGGACCACACATCAAACACAGCCAACATGCCCCTTTGCCACTCCTCCCCACCCCCCAACGAGTTCACGGAGCAACTTGCTCCCTCCTTGCTGGTGCAACCCAGCAGTGGAACCTGAGTCCCCAGAGCACTTCTCAGCCTGGGGTTCGCTAGAGAGGTGGCTCCGAAGGCAAGAGAGAAAAGGGGGCAAGGCCCTTGGTATACTGTACTGGTGGGAGAGATTGCACTCTGTACTGTAGACTTCTCCCTGAAGCACCCAGGGCTAGACAGTCAGATGCAGCGGGGGATCTGCCAGCCTATTTCTCACTCGCAACCACAGCTCAGTTTTACAGAATTCTAACTTCACTTCCAAGACCCACCACAGGCCTCTCCATTTATTGTTATGATTCACTTTTTGTTTTAAACCTGTAGTTATCATTTTCCCACTGTTGCCACTCCTAAATAACCTTTTGTTTTTGTGGAACATTGCACCAGATTTTGGGGTCAAACTTCTCCAGACAACCTACCTACCACTCAGCCTCTTATTCACGGTGTCCTATAATCTAGCGCGTTTAAAATTCCTCAAATATACCACTGGCTCTGTGAGCTCACATATCGGGCACTCCCTTTCTAGTATTAGTGTGTTTGATTTCATGTCAATATGTAACAATTATTATGCAGTGTAAAATATTGCGTATCATTTAACCTTTTCCCCCCACTAATATGCAGCATGAATCACACTAAGAACAGAGCTAGGGAGTTACAACCTTGTTAAATAATATATTTTCATCACTTCTGTAAGTCATGATTATGTGAAACTTGCTGAGAGTTAGAAATAAAGTACAGAGCACATACCTTTTCTAAATGGAGATGAAATAAATAATATTAAATCAATCAACCAGTCAACCAATAAATATCCTCCTCTTTCCATCTCAGTTTCTCTGAGTATTAGTGAGTAATACTTTAAAAGAGTGTAACTATTAGAGATGGGGACACACTCATGAAAAAAATTGCTGACTGATTTAATTCAGTGCTCTATCAATTCAGCTAATTAACAAAATAATAATAATAATGATACAAATTGCAGACATATAATGGCTGCTTCCATTTGCTGCCAGGGAGCAAGTTCTAAGTGAGGTGTGACCAAAGATGAACGGACACAAGTAGAAGATGGAGGGCCATGGTGCCATATTGGAAGGAAGGGCCCGGAGTTTCCAGCTCCCCTTTATCTCCCTGAAAAGGAAGTTAGCTGAAGATGTCCCACTGCCTGCTCCATCTTTGGGGTGGGATTCCAAAGAACTTCCTACCAGGATTAACTCCATCTAGCAGTTTCTTCACAGCTCAGTGCCTCACTCTCACCTCTCCAGCTGGCCACAGGGCTCCACTCAACCCTTCTTGGTCCTCAGCCACAGGGGTGCTGAAGCAGGAATATCTTCTCAAGCTTCCTGGAGACAAAAGGTGTCAGTATTCCAGCTTCTCCTTTCTTGTTCCAAGCAAGTGTCTGGGCCTTTAAATTGTTTGAAGTCCTTTCCACCCCCTGCTTTACCATGAAAATATAGGAAATGGGGAAGCTATGCTATTTTTGTATAAAACTTACCTGGAACTGATAAAATGCTTTGTACTTAGGGTTAAATTCTAGTGGGAATGTGAATATGATATCTAAATAAGTGCTATTTAAGTTTAGTTATATGAGCATTGAGAAGAGGCATAATGATACAATAGTTCAGAGCATAGAGTCTGGAGATAGGCTGTTGGGTCCAAGCCCAAGTGTAGCCATTTTTTCATCATGTGTCTGGGAAAATTGGTTTACCTCAATTTCTTCAAATGCAAAATGACATCAGTAATAGTAATAATAATAGTAATTATATGCAACTCATGGAGGATCAACTGAGTTAATATATGTAAAGTATTTAGAAGCATACCTGACATGTAATTGGGATTCCATAAACATTAACCTTTTTATGATCCTGGAACCTTGTGTACGATGAAGATAGAGGACTGGGGAGGGTAAGTGGAAGGAATTTGGAATCCTGCATCCATAGGCTGGCCCTGTCACTTATTAGCTGTGTATGTATGGGCAAGTTACAAAACCATTTCAAGTCCAATTTTGTACATTTATAAAATGGGAATAATAGAAATATGTGTTTCATCAGATTGTGGTGAAAAATAAATGAAATACTGTATACAAAGCCCTAAGACATAATGAGGTATCAGTAATTATTATTTCTCTGGCTCTACTTCTTATAAGCTGTATTACTTTGGGTACAGCTCATTCATGGAGTGGGGAAGGGGGAGGTAAAGTAATACTTATTTTTAGAATTATTGTATAGATTAAGTTAAAAAATTATAAACACCTAAAACAAGGTTGGGCAGATAGTAAATGCTCAAAAATGTTAGCTTACAGGGGTACCTTTGTGGCTCAGTTGGTTGAGCGAACAACTTCGGTCATGATCTCACAGCTCATGAGTTTGAGCCCCACATTGGGCTCTGTGCTGACAGCTCAGAGCCTGGAGACTGTTTCTGATTCTGTATCTCCCTCTCTCTCTGACTCTCCCCCACTCAGAATCTCTTTCTCTCTCTCTCAAAAATAAATAAACACTAAAAAAGTGTTAACTTACTGTATCTATCCAGAGGTGCTTAGATTTGCCCCTGGGAACAAGTCAGAAGGAAAATAGAGAAGAGGTGCCTAGTGATGAAGAAAGGATCACACAAACTTCTTTCAAGTTCTCTGGGAAGCTCTCTCCTCCTCAGTGTCTACTATCTCCTTCCAGTCCACCTCCAAGAGTTTGCCATATGTCTTAGTCCATTTGAGCTGCTGTAACAAAAGTACCATAGGCTAGGTGGTTTAAACAACAGACATTTATTTCCCATAGTTCTGGAGGCTATGGGACCAAAGTTCAGATTTGGTGTCTGGTGGAAGCCACTTCCTAGTTCACAAATGGCTATCTTCTCATTGTAACTTCACATGGTGGAAGGGTGCAAAGCAGCTTTCTGAGGCCTCTTTTATAAAGGGCATTAATCCCATTCACAGCAGTTCTACCCTTAAGGCCTAATCATCTCCTGAAGGATCCACCTCTAAGTACAATCACATTGGGGATTAGGCTTCAACAAACATGAATTTTTAGACTATAGTACAAAACTATTTTATTCTTGGGTCTCCTGGGTGACTCAGTAGGGTAATTTTCCCACTTTTCATTTTGGCTCAGGTCATGATCTCACAGTTTGTGAGTTTGAGCCCAGTGTTTGGCTCTGTGCTAACAGTGTGGAGCCTACTTGGGATTCTCTCTCTCCCTCTCTCTCTCTCTTTCTTTCCCTTTCTTATTCTTTCTCTCTCTCTCTCTCTCTCTCTCTCTCTCTCAAAATAAATAAATAAACATTTAAAAATTCTACTTTATTCTCTGACATGAGGGAGAGTTTAATTGGAGGTAGGTCCAGTGTTTTTTCTAGCCCTTAATCAAGGACTATAAGACATTCAGGGCACACTTAACCAGAGACTAAACCATCTCTAATTGTAAGTGACATGGAGTGATCCTTGAGCCTTTGCTGGTCTCCTGGGACTCCTATGCTTCTGCCATCAAGCTGATTGATCATTGAAATCCACCTCCTAATCGTTATCACTTTAGCTTGAGACTCTGACACTTGTTAAATCATATAAGCCCTTGGAAAGATGAATATTTTCA